GTTCTCTGGTGCAACTTCAAAACAGGAGGATTTTTTCTAAAAACCACAGTGTCTGTGTCCCTGTTTGTTCTCTTTCTGCAAAACTCTTGCTGGAGGCAGCCTCAGAATTATGCCTCCCCCCCCTGCTCCCGCCAGAGGGTCTTCTGCACTTGGACAGGCTTTTAAAGTAAGCCTCTGTCTTGTTCTGTCTGCAAAGGCATGAAAAAGAAAAAAAGTCCTCCCTCCTCTCCTGGGGGTGGAGACTGACCCGAGTTGTGGGGAAATCTCCAGGCAAGACCTGGAGACGACCATCTCTGCTGAGAGAGAGAGAGAGACAGAGAGAGAGACAGAGAGAGAGACAGAGACCCTCACCCCACCACCTACAGCCGACCCCTTCAAGCCATTTCCCTCCCCTCCGGGAACTCAATTCCATGCCTCATCTCACTTTAAAAATTTTAAGCCGTGTCAGACTGACATTGCCGCAACAACCAAGAATCAGCCTCCATCAGAGATTCCAGCCCGTTTAAATGGTACAGAGGTAGGCAAAGTGAGTTGCAAGTGGCAGACTCAGTTCCAAGCAGAGTCCCCCCTCAGTCCCAACCGCCTCCTCTCCTGTGCCTAGAGTCCACAGCCCTCCAAAAGCCTCTGACCAATTCCCCACAAGCTGCTGCTCCACCCTCGCTCTTCCCTCTCCCTCGATTTTAAGCGTCAATTTCCCACTACTTGCTGCGAGGCCGCATTTTGACCCACAGCTTCGCCCGATCTCCCCCGCATCTTCTCGATCCTGTTTTTTGAGGATCAAAAAGACGCAGGGGAAATCGGGTGAAGCTGCGGGTCAAAATGCAGCCGCGCAGCAAGTAGTGGGAAATGGATGAATACAATCGGGGGGGAGGGAAGAGTGGGGGCGGCGCAGTTGCTTGTGGGAAATCAGTCTCTGTTTTCTCTCCCCTTATCTATTGAGTCCTGAGCAAAAAAGCACCTCTCCTTTAAAATTTAAATGGGCAGCATCAGTCTCAGTTGGAAACGGAGAATCCCCTGCAGCAGCAACACCCTTCCAAAAAAAGCCTTTTTTCCAAAAATCCTGTTTCTTTTCTTCTTCTCAAAAATAAAGACCAGGAAGCTTTTAGGGTCCCCATGTGTGTGAGAGAGAGGACTGTAACTTTTGGACTTTCGAACCGGAGAATGCAGCACCGCCCGGCTGCAGGGAAGGAGGCTGGGGAAACATCAGGCATAGAGATCAGTGTACCAAGCAAGGAAGGGGCAGACGGGGAGGAAGGAGGGATTTCTGTCATCTCATTCAACAGCCTGTCCCCCAAAACCCTGAGCGTGTCTCAAAGGCATCTCACTGCAGCACGTGTGTCAGAAAGCGCCCCCCCACACACACACCTTAGGCTGTAGTTTTTGCCACGTCATGGTCAATGTTCCCTCTAAGCCAGTTTGGTGTAGTGGTTAAGTGTGCGGACTCTAATCTGGGAGAACCGGGTTTGATTCCCCACTCCTCCACTTGCACCTGCTGATGTGACCTTGGGTCAGTCACAAGCTCTGGCACAGCTGTCCTTGGAAAAGAGCAGTTTTGTCAGAGTTCTCTCAGCCCCACTGACCTCACAGGGTGTCTGTTGTGGGGAGGGGGAGGGGGAGGGAAAGGAGTTTGTAAGCCGCTCTGAGACTCCCAAGTGAAGGGCGGGGTATAAATCCAATCTCTTCTTCTTCTTCTTCTAAGCTGTGGAGTC